CGTATTAGAGAAGGATAGCGATCGAGTGTGAAGCTTTTATGCACGCCTGGATGATGTGAACCGGTGATTGGAAACATGACACAGATGAAAGTGGTAAAAAACAATTGAGCTCAGCCTCTTTGGTAGGCCACGCTTCGATCATCCCAACTGCCCCTCATCCAAACTGCACTTTCTATTGCTGGGATATCGGTAGGCAAACCTTGACTCTTGGATCGCGATCAATGAATTCGAAGACTTTTCTTGAAGCACCGACGGCCTGCATCAGTCCATTCCACACCTCACCTAATTCCTGAACAAAATTTAGGGAGTCTCTTCTCACATGCGTTCAGGAAAACAATAAGTGTCACTTACTCTGAGATTCTCTCCAAGTTGAAATTGATACAGTAAGAACGAGACGAGTAGCCCTGATTCGATCTGAAAATACTTGGAATGCATCGAAAGTAAAGAGCTCGTTTATGGTTACGATGACGCAGAGGACCCTTTGACGACCTACTCCATATCTATTCCTAGTTAAATCTATTTTTGAGACCGCTAAAAAGATAGGACGGAAGTGATGTAGTGGCATGTGGCGCTGCTTACCATGCGCGGTCCGCGGATTGCACCCTACATCGTGCGCCCTCCAAACCTACCACGCCTTTCACCTCTAGGAGACCATTCAGTTGGTTCCACAGTTGGCTGGGAGGGTCAAAAACACTGACTTAACATAGGCTGCCCCCTTGTAAGGCTAAATTGTAACCGAAGCCACTTTGATCACGAATGGGAGAAAATTGGGTGGCGCATTCCAAGAAGGATCGGTTACGGTGAATGTGTTGTCTCCATATTGATTAGAAACCATCCAGACCAACCGACACTTCCATCCCTGTTGGGAGATGGGGTGTATGTGTGTGGTAATTGCAGAAAGAGAAAAACGCGAAAAAAGTAAAAATTTCAAAATTTTCTTGAAATTCGCAGGAGTTTTTTTAAACCATAAGTTTTCAAACGAATCCCTTCTCTATGTTCCCCAATGTAACTCAAGAGTATAGCGCCACTTCAAAATTACAATTACGACCCCCTTCCTCCGTTGAAACCCAACGAACAGTTGTCCTGAGCTAAGAACATCCGAGGGATTGTGAGATTCCCATCGACCCGCTTGACTTCCGCCGCTCCACGCTCATAGCTTCGTAGCTTTTTGACCAAATATGGTGTCTGTTATAATAAAATGGCCATTGTGGCGCTACAGCCTGCTCTAAATCTATTTTTGCCCGAAGTGCCTGAACAGTCCTCTAAAGCTAAGTACTGCTTAGCCGCTTTATTCTATGCCCTCTGCACATGTTGTGCAGTTTTTTGTCACGGCATCAACTGGATCAGGGAGACAGGATTTTCGGACTAACCAGCCCCCCCTGAGGGGTGAAATTCTGAGTTGATTTGCTAACATAAGGGTTCCATTAAGGGTTAGTCGCAAATTTTATAACAGGCAAACAATGCTAATGGGCTTGGCAGTACATCCGTGACGCGTCTGTATGCATGCCCCGTCTTATTGTATAGGATCGATGTGTGATTTAAATATCTTTACGGTTTGAATGGAGTCAAAAGTGAACGTCTTGCGGGAAAGAATTGATCAATGTTGTTGCGGAGGAATCAGCTGCTCCCATAGCATGGATAAACATCAAATGAAAAATAGACGTTCTCACCTTACTTGTATGAACGAGATACCACCGTACACAGCACAACCGTGAGAATGCCCATTTGAAGCAACTGTTAATGTGAGAGAATCGTAACACTATACTGTGCAATACCATTGCGACCCTTCCAAGCCAAAGTTGGAGCGACCAAATAACACTCCTGCCACGCTTATATCGTTCTCTACACAAAAAAATTCCCTCTTAAACCTTTTAGGTCACCTGAGTCACTATCAACACGACTCCAGAGGTAGCAACAAATAATGCTCATAGCAGTAAATAAGTAGAGCAGTCGAGTCACCAACCAATAGATGAACACGTAGACTAATATATATTTAAATAATTTAATAAACTCGAATGAAAGAATAATCGAATAGACCATTCAGATACTTAAATAAATGTGTGTGTCCGAAAATTTCTCGTGTTACCTGAAGAACCCTTGGAGAGTCCGGAGATCAAAGTTTGGATGGTATGTCATTGGTGAAAAGTACAAAATGTACAGGTGAAAATATCCCAGGGTAAAAGATGACTATGCTATGCTCCCCAAATGGTAGGGTCTCTTCCGTATTGCTAGTCCCCGAAAGTTCTCAGGGAGAGCACGCCCTCGATACCGGGGATATCTCCCGTATCGCCTGCCGATCGGGCGCAAGCGGGGTACGCCAAATTTGTCTGTTCTCGCAGCACAATTCTTAATGGTTGCGACTGCAGAACATCATGGGGCGCGCGCAGTCGGTTAGTTTCCCAACAGGGCCCTCCCTTTTGGGGAGCATAGCATACGTCCCGCCCAAGTGGATACTTGCACTGGGCGATTGCCACCCAACAAATCGCAGGGGGCGGTCCATGAATGTAGTGTTTGTTAGCAAGCCGCTAATCCGATTCAGGAAGTCCTAGAAACCAGAAAGAAGTGTGGTAGAAATTAAGACATAAGATAGAGTTAAGAGATAGTTTTAAGTGTAATAGATAGTGGAGTGGGGTCCGCACACACCATGGGTTAGTTACCACAACTTGTAATTCGATTCCCAGAAGTCACAGATGGGGAAAAGTGGGGAGGGTCTAGCAAGGAATAGAGTCAAATGTACCCCACAGTGAGTGGGGTTTGCAACGATGTGGAGGCGCTTGCACATATCATTATGTTAGGTTCCAAGAAATCCCAGAGACTAGACAAAATATAGTACCGAGGTGGGGAAAAAGAGGAGAATACTTAATACTAATGGTCCGTGACATACAGCTGTGTGAGCAGAGTTGAAACGCCGAACTACATTCGATCGGAGGAAGTCCGGCACGGAATTGATATGGCCAGTGAAAGAAGGAGAGATCATTGTGAACAGGTGAGAGGCTGTGTCAATTGTGGGGTAGTTTCCATGGAAATTATTACTTCCATTACGGGACTGCGTCAAACTCGGAAAAAAAAGTGGGACGATACGGGAGAAGAGAAGTCATGTATCGATAGGGGGGGGGCGTTTAACCTAAAAGGCCGGTTCCCACAAAATATTTTGAATCGTTTTGAGAAGGTTCAGAGGCTTGTAACAATGGATAGAGCTCAAGCAAGAAATGAGAAGCTGAAATGGCTGTTGGTGAGTGGGGCGTGCAGCGTGTGGGGAGCTTGCCCAAAAACATTATAGCTAGTTCACCAAGGGTCTCAGAGACCGAGAAAAAAGCCGGTAAGAGGTTAGAGAAAGATGAGAGGTCAACGCAGGGTGGGAATGGGGTAGTGATATATCTTTATTATATTTTCTGGATGCGTGACTTGCGTGATATTAAACTGTACCACAAAATGAAAGCAAAACCCACGGAAAGCACCGAAATATATACAGGGGGGGGACGGCCAAAAAAAAGTACCATTAGCCTATGTCCGACTTCGGCCCTTTTTTCTTCGCAAGAGATCTTGCCGGCGTTGCGGGTTTGATCAGCAGAGTATTTCCTAAGCGTGCCTCTCCCATAAGTGAACGCAGGCTCTCTTCACTGCCCTCACTGTCTCAGAATATTGACGTCATCTGTCATCGTCGTCTCAGGCTCAGGAGTATACTGTAAATGCTCAGCCTGAAGCTCTTACGCATTTTCGTGATCGAATTTAATTTGATACTTTTCCAGAGGCGTTACCTCCCACTATATACAAAATCCCCTCGAAACGAGCTTTTCGGTAAGTCGTTATGGTACAGAATCCTTCGAAGACCCATTGAGCTCGTCCAGAGCACAGTTTCCAGGGCAAATTCTTTGTGCAGTCCACGTGGTGGCCAACATGAAGAATTTTCTTATAGAATGAATGTGCTGCTTCAATATTAAAGTTGGAACACACGTCTCAATTGTGCAAAATAAGCTTAAATCCATCTGAAAGTGGAGACAATGTCTTTTTTTATTGCCGCCCCTGTAAACGTAATATAAATATGAATAATATTATAATAATGTGAGTTCAAAATCAGTTTGCTTTCGTTTCTCGTGGATCCGGCGGAAAGTCGGAACGCTAGAGGAGATCAGGCGTTGTTCAATTAGATCGTGAATCAACCTTGAACCGCGTTAGCCTCAGAACAGCCGACGCTTTTGTCGAAACGTTTAGGGCCGCTCAAATAATGTTGCCCCTAGTCAATCTCGAACGGGCAAGAAGAACCAAATACAAATATGAAAATAATTTACAAAACGAATGACGAGCCCGAACTCTTTCGTAATAGTAACCTCTCACCTCATTACTCCAATCAGTACCGATGACCACAATAACTTTACGCGTGCTATGGGTAACGTCTCATTCATCAAGTAGCCCAAAAAATCTGAAATAAAAGCGTGGGACGAATAAATAATAATCCTGTGTTTAAAGATATATTTAAAGGCTACTAGTTATGTCCCTACTGATACTCCTCGCAAGCTTTGCTCAAGTGTCCAGCCTGAGTGACGTTAAGGAAACCACCCCGGAAAAAGCATGATTTTATCTTACCGCATAAATCCCGCTGAATTCCCATCGTCCACCTGTGATCGAAAAAAGCAAAAAAAAATGCGTTTGTTCCAGTCAATGAAAAAAAGGAAACTTGTTCACTTGAAATTCCCGCCGGCATCTGTCACAATGCTGGCCGCGGTAACGCTTCCATTGGTTTTCGATAAACCATGCGCTAAAAGTTTTTGAGCTTTTTGACTTCAATTACACTAACCCATCTCACAGCTTCTGCTGCATCCTATTCTATTGATGCACTTTGTCCTGTTCCCCAAATCAAAACCCTTTAACCCTTGTCTTTCAAAATGCGTCGCCTAATACATGGTCACATCAAGACTTTCTCCTTTCATGCATCTTGTCCCACCTACCTTCGCCAGTCCATAGGCGTCCCCGCTTGTAAGTCGTTTCTTTCGGAAACTTGATCTTCGGCAGTGAGACTATGTGTGTTTGTCTCTATGACGAGTCCTTTCTTGCACTCTTTATCACTTAAGAAGTGCAAGAATTTTCGGGGAAGCTTTCTTCAAAGCCCAGTGTACTCGGTCAATCCCGGTGCAACAATCAACAAATTAGTCAGAAAAAGCCTCGCAGCAAGCGGTCATGTAACATTTTTAAACCTTCTAATAGGAGCTATAGAGCTGTCGACAACAGGTGAGTATCGGTCGAGGAAAAATCTCGAACAGGGGGGTCCGGTAACTGTTGGGCTGGTCCATGGGGGTCCGTACTGCTTGGGGTCAATAAAACAGAAGTGGTATCATGGTCAGTTAGGTAAAGAGGGTTATAGCGCAGCAGAAACATGAGAAACGATCCGAAAAAAAACATATATATTAAATTTTCTT